GGCTTCCTACAAAGGTCCAAGCCCACTCTTTGGTTGACCTAATTGCAAGCATTATATATCTTCCTCATTCAGACAAAGGCAGCCACGAAATCCCTTGCAAAGAAACCTCTTCCAAACTTCCAAAAAATCTCAAAAACATCAAAAAACTAGGGCAAGTTGAAAACCCTAGTTCCAGCCACCTTCAAAGCATTCCAGCCCTTCCAATCGATTCCAGGAGAACTACAAGGTAAGAATAGATCAAACCTTATGATCCAAAGCTCATAAAACCTGCACGCATACACCTCCGATCTTATTATTTTTTGCAAATTCATATTTCGATTTTCGTATTTTTTTAAGGCATGCTAACGCTATTAATGTGTTTCTGAGGTGTATTTATACATGCTAAGATCATCGCATGAGTCTCATACTACCAGAACCATGAACTGCCATGTTCACACCGATTTGCATTATTTTGTTGTAGCTCACGATACAACGTGTTTCAACCCAAACCAACACTCCCATTGAATTCACAGGGTTGGAATTAGAGGGAAAGGGTTCTTTGGGACCTCTAATATTTGCTATTTTGCAGGGTTGAAAAACGTATTCACCAGAGAAGACGACCAGAGCTAGGGCTCCGGCGCCTCTCCGATCCAGGCAACGTTTTTATGTTATAATTTATTCACCATCTTTGTCTCGGTTCACCTGCCACGGGGGATTTTGTTCACCATCCCCGTTCTTGCAGATCCCCGCGGACCCCCATAGATTCTCACTTTTATGTGGAGTTCCATAAACATAATTTTATTTATTTATTTATTATTTTTTAGCAAATTAATATAAAAAATTCAAAAGCTAACCACAAGAAATTAAGAAACTAATCATCTATGATAAATATATTATTTTAACAATAGTTAATATATACTTTTGAGAGTCATGACCACCAAACTTTTAAACTTAAAAAAATTTAAAATAATCTTTTAGATCTCTCTATTTTACCAACTTTATATGTGTTTTAAATTTGTTTATAAAATAAGTTATATACTCTCAGAATGTTGGTTGAGCCCAACTCATTCCTACAAAATCGACTTGTAGGGTGAGAATTGTCCCCCACTTATAAACATAACACATGTCATATCTCTAAGCAATATGGAATTAAATTCACCCTTTCAAACCCAACACAACGAAGGTGTTGGTGACTGCAATGAAGGAAAACCAAAGTGCCGCAATTAAGGTGACTAGAGGCAAACTGCAATTAAGGTGGGAATTCCAACACACCCTGATGATTGCATATATTTTGTCAAAGAATCAGAGAAAAATAAGTCAAAGATGAGAAAATTAGAAGAATAGTGGCCAAAGAATGATGTAAAAATGACCAAGTATGAATAAATGGGGACTTAGATAAATTTGGCGGAAAAAGGAACAAAAACGAGAAAAGTTACTATAAAAATCACGCTGGCCATCGCGCGCCATCTCATGCGTGATAGAGCTGGAAAAGATGCATCACACGCATGATGTTATCCATGACGCGCGTGATGGGCCCTTTTTCTGGGCAAATTCTAACGCGTTATGATATTTTTTGAAGGTTTTAAAAGGGGAGTTTTGGCATCTTTTAAAGGGTTATACGATTTTTGACTACGGGTGACAAAATTAAGTATCGAAAGCGAATTTTAGAGAGCATTAGAAATCATTGGAGGCCAAATCTTCAAGGATTCTCTTATTCAATCTTCATCTAATTATTTAATATTTTAATTATATCAGTATGAGTAGCTAAATACTCATAGGTTAGGTTTTGTCTAATGAAATTATTTTGAACCTATTGGGACATATATTTAATTTAATATTGCATGATTAACCTTAGATATATTTCTATTTAATTATTTCTTTTGCTTAACACACATTATTTGAGATACTATGTTAATATGATAATGGATATATAGAGAATATTGACCCTTAGCCTATGCGTCAGAACTAGGGTAATTATTATATTTATGTTGGTTGAACAGGGATAAGAGACCTCTAGTAGTGTCATTAGAATTAATGCACTATATCATTGCCTAATTTCACTTATGTCGGTTGAATAGGGATAAGAGACCTCTAGTAAAAATTAGTGAACTATACACCAAGGAATTGAGTATAATGGCCTTGTAATTCACCATGGAAATATAACAATGTTTCATTCATGTAATGCATTAGGCATCAACAAGGGGAGAAATAAGGGATTCTAGGAAAAATCTGGCTGATTTCTCATTATTATCAGAACAACTTTTATTTTCTCGCAAACAACTCAAAAAGGCCTTCCCCCATTTATTATTTTCTAAACATTGTCCAACTATTATTTTGTCAAATAATAGTCCTTGTGGATACAATTTTATTTATTACTTTGACATTATTGATACACTTGTCTAGAAGTCATCACACCCCCTCACGCTCGGGCCTCAATGAACCTAAAGCGTGGACGATACGAAAAACCCAACAATGGATCTAGGATAGACTTTGATACCATCTCAGAATTTAAGTTTAGGCGTAACTCATCCCTACAAAACCAACTTGTAGGGTGATGATTGCTCTCACTTATAAATACAACACATTTCACATCTCTAAGTAATATGAGACTAAATCCACTCCTCCAAGCCCAACACAATGAAGGTGTTGGGGGTACAAAGAAGACAAGTCAAAGTGCCACAATTAAGGTGACTAGGGGCTGACCACAATTAAGGCGGGATTCTGACATATATAAGAACAAACAAACTTACATATAAATTTAAAGTTATATATTAATTAAGGATATTATGGTATTTTAGGCGGGGCGGGGACTCCACGGGGCGAGGGATATGTTCGTCGTCCCCGTCCCTAAAGTCCCTTCGAGGGAACTTTGTTCCCCATCCATGCGGGGGAACCTGCGGGGGAAATTCCTCATATTTGTGGCCCTAAACGGGGAAATCATTATGGGAATCCTCATTAATGAATGCAAGTTAACATTCCTATGTAAGATGGTTTCATTAGTTGCACCACATATATAATAAGATGTATTTGTTGACATGTGATAAGTAACTCGCGTATAGTTGATCCGTAACTTCCCACGCAATGATGATCCAAACAAAATAACAAATATTTTCAAATAACTTGAGGTTCCAAATCCATGCATGTTTGAACATGAGGTGAATTGAACTCTAAAATTACATTGACATTTAGATTATGCGGGGAGAGAAAATTTTCCAATATTTACCCACATATAAAAAATCTAAAATTTGTATATAAGAAAAACAAAAAGCATTTTTTTATTCCTCACAAAACATATATAAAATCTAAAATTTGTGTATAATAAATAAATAAAAAATAAAATAGAAGATGAATTATCGTTGTAAAATAATTTTACACCGTCAATTAATGATTACATATTCTTCTAAATCACATTGATATTTTAAATTAGTGTTATGACATAGTTGAATGATGAATTTCTATTAAATGATGGTGTAAAATTATTTTATATCATAAAAGTAATATTTTAAAAATCAGACCGAATCGTCCGGTTCAACCGGTTAGACTGGGAATCGGAGGTGACTCTGATCTGGTCAGTATTATAAAATCGCAGGTGGATCAAAATCGAAAAAATTTGATTGAACCATCCAAAATCATTCGAACCAAAAATATCCGAGCCAATTTTGGAAAACCGCCCAATTCAAAAAAAATGTTTGTCATAGCAAATTTTAATATTTTTTATATAAAAAAATTGAAAATTTATTAATATGCTAACATCAATAAATAAAATATTTTTCGCAACACAAATTTTTAACTTATAATATCATTTTATAGTTTTATTTTTTTAAGTATATTATTATATTATATAATAATATTTATCATTAATCTCATAATATTAAATTTGTAATAAATTTTTAAAATATTTATTTTTAAAATTTAAGAACATAATCTTATCTATAAAATTTAATTTATATTATTAATCTATTTAATAAACAGTTGGATTATAAATTTAACCGATTGAACTAAATATATTAAGAAACAAAAATCTTTGCGGTTGAACATTGGGTATAATTTTTAAAACATTGCATAAAACTACCGACTTTCATCTCAAATAAAAAATAATTTTTTTAATCAAAATAACAAAATAACATACAGAAAATCTAGACGGTTGATATAGAAGCATCTAGACATCACGCAATCCCCCACGTGTCACTCCCAAAGCCCTAATTATTTAGGTCATCATAAAAATTGAGGGTTTAACCATTTTCGTTTCATTCTTTCGACAAGCGCTTTTCAAGGTACGTAGTAAGATCTCAAGATCACACTTTTCTCATTACCCATTTCCCCTTTTTTCAATTACGATTTCACTCTTTTTTGATTCAGCTTATTTCGCTTTTGTTAATTTCTTCGTATTTATTACATGTTTATTGGATTTTTAGTAGTTAGGTTTTTCATTTTCAGTATTTTGATTTGGTGATGCTAAATACTGTGCAAGATTTGTGTTTTACTGTTTGAGTCTTTTATTTTGTGAATGATTCAATTAGGTTTTCAAATTATTATCTTTGACGACAGTGTGTCAGTGTCGGCGTCGTGTTTCTTGTGTCCGTGCTTCATAGTGAGAGAGACATAGTTAGCGAAATAGGCATGAAGCACCGACACGACACTTACACAGCTTGTGATTAGGTTTAATTTATTCATTTTATTCAAATTATTATCAATGTCCATGTGTCAGGGTTGGTGTCATGTTTCTGGTGTTCGTGATTCATAGTAAGAGAGACATAGTTAGCATTTAGCTATGAAGCACCAACACAAATACGAGACATTGATAACATTTTAAGAAAACGGAATTTAGAGAGAGTGAATGTGGCTGATGTGAAATTAGATTTCAATTTCATCAGATAAAATAGAAAATTTTAGTTCATTCAATGGAACTTTTGGTGGAATATTTGTACTTAGCAGAGCCTGTTATAACTTATAACGAATAATGGATATATTGTTCTAGTGATACTAATTTTCTGAGGTTTAATGTTTTTAAGGTTTGAGCAATGGCGTTCTTTGGTAAAATTGGGAAGTTACTGAAGAGCTCTGCTGTCAAGCACATCAATCATGATATTTCCATGTCTACTCCTTTGGCATTCCAAGCGATTAGATCTATGTCATCTGCAAAGCTTTTTGTTGGAGGTACGTTAGTTTATCATGTCAAATTTTTCTAAATGGAATTTAGAAATAGTTTTTAACATTTCAAATGTAATGCAGGAATTTCATATAGCACTGATGATACCAGTCTCCGAGAACATTTTGCTCGCTATGGGGAAGTTGTTGATGGTAGTTTTCTTTCTGGCTCTCAGAATCTACTAGTTTTTCATTGTTTTAGGTAGAAGTAATATCTAATAAATCATGAGTTTGTCCCAAGAATGTGTAGCTTAGTGGTGTAAGTTAGGGACGATGAAGGAGTATTAAGGAGGTCCAGGGTTCAATCCCTGCTGTTAACAGATTCCCTCTGCCCCCACCTCCCAACAAATTAACCACTAACATAGGTGTCTGACATAGATAATGTAAAAAACATAAGACACCAACATCGCTACATATATGATAATAACCGAGCTTTATTTATCCATCTATTATTAAAAGAATTAAAAATATTATAATCAAAATATGTCTTCAATTCTTCATTAATAACATTGTTTCAATACATGTTAAACCCTTTTAAATGAGTATGCGATTTGTCTAAGAAATGTATAAGGTGTGTTAGAAGCAAAGAGAAAAACAATTTCTTTTGAAACATTGGTCTGAATTGTCCAACACATATTGTATGAGTGTTATATGAGTATCGGGCACCGATTCAAAGAGTGTCGAAGCAAAGAAAAAAACATTATTTGAGGACACTTGTCTGACTTTTCAAACACTTGGCTGACTTTTTCAACACATGTAGTACAAGTGTCTGACACTAATAGGTGTTCGACACCGTGACACGCCTTCTCCTATAGGTGTCCGTGCTTCATAGGTTTTCACTCTTAAATTGTTTCTGAATTCTTATATAGTGAGCCAAACCAAACCAATAAGATGTTCAATTTATGTATATGATTTGATAGTGGTTTACTGTTACTTTGTTTCGATAAACACAAATTTTTCTTAAAAATAGAGGTCACTTATTTATATCTGTGTACTTATGTTATTGTTTCTTTTGTGGATGTACTTGATCTTATTCTTTGTTCCTCTCTTTTGTTAGAATTAGTTTACAAATAGTTATTTAGTTGCCACCAGTTGTCACGTCTAACAAAATACAAGCAGTTATTATTTATATAACAAACAATAAAAATGGTAGCTTTGTCAAGCATATCTATTTCATAATATGGTGCTTATTGATTTGTACACTGAAACTGGTCTTTTTAATGCTCCTCCAGCAAAGGTTATTATGGATCGTGAAACAGGAAGGTCCCGAGGTTTTGGCTTCATAACTTTTACAACAAGCGAGGATGCATCTGCTGCCCTTCAGGCCATGGATGGCCAGGTACAATCGGTTTTTGTGATAATTCATCTTACTAAATTCACCAATTCGCATAGCGAACATGACTTAAAGCCTCATTTACGAAGAAACTAGAGTTCTCAACTTTCATATTATATATCAATATTATGAAATAGTGAAACACCTGATGTTCAGACCTGGAGGAAGTAATTGCAGTTAATTAGCCATGATAAGATAGAAACATTGAATGCATATGCATATGTAGTTGTAAATTACAATAATGCGGGCAACAGGAAATATTACAATTTCACCATCAAGTAGTAGTTGTTTGTTTAAACTGACTCATTTTGCTGTTCTTTGCAAATCTCAAAATGTTGGAAATGTTTTTGTATAGCATCTAATGACTAATATCATGTTGTCACAGGATCTTCATGGTCGGACAGTACGAGTGAACTATGCTACAGAAAGGTCACGTCCTGGGTTTGGTGGTGGAGGCGGCTATGGTGGAGGTGGAGGTGGAGGCTATGGTGGAGGTGGTGGATATGGCGGCGGCGGTGGTGGCGGATATGGTAGTGGTGGATATGGCGGCGGCAGCTATGGTGGTAGTACTTATGGTCGTAACGATAATAGCAACAGTGGAAGCTATGGAAGTGGTGGTTATGGTGCCCCGGGAAGCTATGGTGGTAGCAATGTCGAGACTAGTTACGCTGCCCCTGTTGAACACGGAAGCAACTCTAATTTGGGGTATGATGGTCAACTTGGTAGCCACCAAGATGGCGGTGAATTCGTTGAACCACGTGAAAACAACCCTGATGAACCTAATGATTACATAGAGACCGGGAGGAGGTGAGGTGAGACTATTTTCATCATGAAGGAATTCCTTGCAAAGAGCAAGTAACTTGTGGCATTAAATGATTTATAATCAAATGTGTTTCAAATATTTGTTTACTTTTGTTTTTCAGAAACTTCATTGTTTGGCATAAATTTGATAGTTTGTCAGCTCAAGGACTGATGTAAAAATAAGACCTTTTTCTAGGATTGATTGCAACTACATTTATAAATTTTGTTTCCCTTTTGTTGCTTGGCATGTTTTGAGATTAGTGCTGTTATTCTTTTAGAATTAAATAAAAAACTATAGAAAATTCAGGTCCATTATTAGAAGGAATGATTTTAATATATTCAAGTTTCAGGACAGTCATCAATTTAATCCATGTAAATCATTATCAGAGTTTTCAAATTCTGAATATTACTTGAATTACGAGGAAAAAAAAATTAAATTGCTAGGAATAAACTCAATGAGTTTACTAACTGAAATAATATTGAAAGAAAATAAGAGAATATAAAGAACAATGTGTAAGATGATGAGTTTGGTGGGGTTAACAATGCCACTTATTAGGATGTTTTACAACTACATCTTTAATCAGAATGAATATTATGATTTTTAAAATGTGCTTAAATTTGAGAAGTGTTGTTGAATTTGATGAAAGAATAGCTAAAAGACCTTGAAATATTTTATGCATTGTTGATGGCCTAAAGAAACATTTAATTAAGATAATTGGTTGAAACAAGACCTTAGTGACACATGTCTTATGACAGATACCACCTTCTTGAGTTGGATCCGGACCAACAACAAAATATCTATCAGCTGCCCCTCGCGACGCGCACCGAACTCCC